GGCAATTTTGATATAATTCTATATTAAAAGCCAAATTTATAATAATCTGCTATAAAATTAATAAAGATATACATCATCCGAGTGTTGATTTTGTGAAAGAGACAAAAAGCTATTTTTATACAGTTATGGAAATCGTTTTCATAGCATTGTTCAAGAATTTATGATATTTTTTGCTAAAGAACTGTAAATGTTCTAAATGTAATTCAACTACTTCGACATATATTACATCTCTGTGTTGGGTTAAATTAGATGGCTTGTATCAATGCGTGTCGTACTTAACAAAACTATTTTTTGAGCATCTTTGTTCATTTTGAACTTCTTTGTTCACATTGGACGTATGAAGAGAGATACTAATTTTGACCCATTATAATGCTTGAAAGATTTGTTTACACAATGTGTCGGAAAGTATTTACAAGGAACAATAATGAAATAAAAAATTGACAGCTAAAAAATTTGAAATTTTGCATTACAGATCCCAAATTTTTTATAATTGCACATTGCTTTTTATTATAAATTTTATTAAAATATGCAAAATTTGTAAATTGAATTAATAAATCACAGTCATGTTCTGTCAGTATGACTTTAAACATGTTCTAAATAAGTGCATAAATAGCATACTCGAAAATCAATTTTGCCCTTGAAGACGACAGGGTTTAATCAGCTCATTTCTATTACAGCCATAATGCTGTGTCGTTTAGGACACTAATGAGTGTCATTATTTAGTAAAGACATAAATTGTAAGAGGAAAAAGGCATTTCAGTGACCAATATAATTATGACAAACGTACACTGAGAGGAATATACATTATAAGTATAATAGTTGATATAAGTTGATGTACTAAGATTTAAGACACTTGCTCAACCAAATATGGGTTAAACTGAACATTTCTCTCTGTATTTCACAAGTTTATAAGAATATTGCACTGTGTAATACGAGAGAGATTGTTGCTCAGCAGTACCTCGCAAACTGTTATTATCTAAAAAATTCCTTTGCTAACGCCGTGTTTTCCATATAGACTCGCAATGCCTTCCGATCTCAAGTGTTCAACCAACAGTGAAGTAATACCATTCATAAACAGCTCGTGACAAATGTCTTTATACAGATTTTTGTGTGAAGTTTTGAGTCCCTCAACAACTTTGACAACCGCGTGCAGTTCAAAACCAATTGTCGCTTTAAATTTATTTTAAGTATTTACTTTATTTAAGTATTTACCCTATATGATAATTAAGTGGAAATATATTGATTAATGTATATGACTTTTCGTGTGATTAGCTAAGTCGTGATCACGAGATACTATGTCGTGGCCACGACTTAGTAACTCGTGGCCACGAGATAGCTAAGCCGTGGTCATGAGATACTATGTCGTGGCCACGAGTTACTAAGTCGTGGCCACATGATAAATAACCAATCAGATTACACCATTTATATGAATTTCCCTTATTAACTAGACATGTGCTATAGTACAAGTATGCCCCTACTTCATCAGCCTCCAAAAGTGTCATTTATACAACTTATTGACTGGTCACTAATTTTACATTTAGTGTCACGGTGACCCTGATTGTTTACCCAATGACCTCGAAATTATTATGATCTGTTTGGGTTAATATATAAACCATGGCTTATCCCTACTAAATTTTTAACAGACACAGATTTTACCTTATAGGCTATCTACTGTCCACGGGCAATGTCCCTTTAAAATAAAATAGACCAGGACTTATTAATTCTCATGTTATCGTATAAACAAGGTTTACAGGCCGTGGTACGTACAAACTGTCCAATTCGATCACGACATTGTCCCAACAGAGAGCTATAGTCAAAATTAATGTCTGATGGGCCTTGGAAGGTGGCCTCGTGGCCACGACATAGTAACTCGTGGCTACGACTTAGCTATCTCGTGGCCACGACTTAGTAACTCGTGGCCACGACATAGTAACTCGATCGTGGTCATGACATAGTATCTCGTGGCCAAGACTAAGTAAGTCGTGGCAACGACATAGTATCTCGTGGCCAAGACTTAGCTATCTCCTGGCCACGACTTAATAACATTTTATTTATCTCGTGGCCACGAGATACTATGTCGTGGCCACGAGATAAATAAAAACACACACATGTCACCTTTGTGCCACCGTAGCTTTCCCTGTCTAAACACTTGATAATGCTTTTTGTGCTTGGTGTGTCTTTGCAGTATTTCTTGTGCTAAAGGAGCTTCATTTAGCAAACGTTGATCTCCCTTGTTGACCGTCCATAACTCTTGTCTCCCTTTCTGACCTTTAAACATATATTTCCAATTCATCGGATGTTTTCTGATAATTATTTTCAGATGAAGACATAAACAAAAATGAAGCAACTCATGCAATTAATTTGTCCTCCTGTTTTGTGTTATTGGATTGGTGCTCAGCAAAAGTGTATCTAATGCGGAAAACAATGAATTATTAAAAAGAGATGAACATCTTGCACACGATCGAACACGAAGAGATGGCGGAAGGGATGGCGGAAGGGATGGCGGCCGGGGTAAAATGGTTTATCGATTAATCGGAATACATAATGTGCATTAAAACAAATAGATAGAAAGATGGGGGAAAAACTTGACAATATGGTATAAATAAAGAAATACGGAAACTTTAGAAGGTTTAAACAATCTTTTCGTTCCTACATTCAAACATTATTGCTATATATATGTATTTATTTAATGCTCTCTTTGCTATTATTTGTGTAAATCATTTCCTTTACTGCTCACACTTATGTTTGGCTAATCGTTTTACCGTTACACACATCATATGTATCAGTTGTTTAACTTTTATCATTTTTTAGAACTCGAATTACAACTGTACACACAATTAAACTAACATCCGGAAAAACTGCGATTAAAAACTAATTATATTTATTATTTCTCAATTACCATATCTTGTCTGTATCTTTATCTTCTGATAATAAACTATTCATTTTGAGTCGTTACTTTTGCATATCATTCAATTATATTATTCCCGATGAATTCATTTCGCCCGATTGGCTTTTTTTTCTTCAAAAATTCCTTAAGAACCATTGGAGTGCCTCAAGCAAGAACGGATTTGGAGGAATATCCTGAGTTAGATAAATCACAAAGAAATCAAAATAAAATGTGCACATGATACAAAGAACGCGGCAACTTACAGAACAAGGGTCTGAGATATGTCAATGTTTTAAAACTTAATGAAAATAAACAAAGAAACATACAGTATCCACTATTTTCTCTTGGCAAAGCTGAATAGACTATATCAGCTAATAGTTATATATCTTTTGCAAATAACAATATCATGAGCGTTTAAGTCTATGAAACAAACTTTACATATTTCATGGCTGACAGTAACGGCACTAAGTGCTATCTCTGCTATTATAAACAATGCTCATTTCAATTTTAAAATTAGTTTGTGTTGATTAATTTTTATCAACTTAGTTAGCACAAGGTTATTGAATGGACATACATGTATTCTTTTTTCTTCAGACCGACTGTACCTAAATTATTTAGTAAAATGCAAGAACGCAGTTTTGATACGTTAACAATGTCACATCTAAAGTGTTCTATAATAGTTAACACTCTTCAACATTTACAACTAAAGCATTACAGAATTATAATTAAAAATGCAGAAATTAAAACTTCGGTGGTAAACTGTTGAAAGGAAAATGTTGTGCACACCTTTCACAAATATAAAATTTCCAAAGAACTTGCTTTCTCGATTGTCCTTTTTTTAATGTTTACTTTAAATTTGATATGTTTAAGTACTTAGTGACTTATACAAAGTACCGTTCACATAGCACGGTAAAATCATATCATATAATTAAAGTCTGCAGAATGACATTGTAGTAGCTCGTAGTGCTATTCCCATTTTACGGTGATTGTCTTGAACATTGCTTCGGGCATTATTTTGTCGCTTTATAAGGCAAATTTCATTTTACTGTGTGCATCACAAAACAATGCAATAAAGCTACTGAATTTAGCTTTTTGCGTCCTTTAATATTATACAATTGTGTATCGCTATCTATTACCCTAGGCAATGTATAACTACCTCGCAATAAATCGGACCAAACGTCTTTAAATGTAAAACTCTGAAGGTACCTTTTTCAAAAACCGGTTCTTAATGAATGTATCGAACACTAGCATTTTGGGTTCGAATACCGCCCGGGACATTGGAGAAGCTATACAATTAACTGACGGAACGTCAGTGGTTTTATTCAGGGTCCTGTTCGTGCCTTAAATAAAACACGAAAAAAGTGCCTAAGGTTTCTCTCCACTAGTATAGCTGGAACATTGACATATGACCTGGACAGTGTTGGTGCGATATAAAACTAACAAACATTTATGATCTTACCATTAAATAGCGGTCCTCGTATCACCCAGTTATATAAGACCGCCAGAAAACCACCCAGTAAGGCATCGAAGTAAGGGAAAAACACAGAGTGATGCAAATGCATAATAAATGACTGTTTGACATAAACTCTTAAATAGAGAAAATAAGAATCAATAAGAAAGCCCAACACAGCAAGATTGAAAATTTTGCAAGCTCGGTTTGATTGAGCCTGTTTATGAACGGTACTGTAAAGTGCAAACTTTCGCCCACAGCCCCTAGCACCAGCTTAAGCAGAGTCAACAATTAACATGAACTAGTACAAATTGGAATTGTAAAACATCCGCAGATGTGTTCATAATGCGGTTATCACGGAACCTTCAATGTAACACTTAAGTGCCATTCCATGAAAAGCTGCATATGGTCCCAAGTAATTACGCCAGTAATTAGTTCTTACATTTGCATCTGAAAGGTATACCATGTGTTTTTTTTTTTTAATTTTCGTAGCTTTGTATAGTATTTGTTGAAATTTGTATCACCCGCTTGGAAAAAACAAATCCACAATGTGTGGAAAATGCTTCACCAATAATGAAACACTTCAGCTAGTAAATCGGTAAATGTGCCAATGACGATCTATTAACTATGTATGTACAATATGACATTTTCTAAACTAAACTGAACTATTTTGATCTTTATTTACAAAACCAAAGGCATGTATTTTGTTTATAAAGTTATATCTATACAAGTAAGCTTTACTGAATATTCAAAAGTTCATTATCAAAGGGTACTGCATCAGAAGGAAAAGCTAAGCTTTTACTCATCAAACTGCTGCTAACGAGGTGTATACTTTGCAAGCAATGTGCAAGTATGAAACTTTGCTGCATTATTTCTTCCCCTTTGTGTAAGAGAAAGCATGTAGCATTGTAATGCTTTCTGAGGCTTGTTTTCCTGTTCCATACATTGCCCGAGCAGATTTAGAGCTGTCTCCCTATGACCATAGTTTGTGCCTGTAACGATAGTCCTTATAAGATTATTTAGTGCCCGTTGTTGATCCTGGTGTCTTTGAAGACGATTATATGTCTTGTACTGTAAAAAGTAGAGAAAAGGGAGAGAATCAACTATCGCATATTGCATCCATATACTTTCTCCGGGGCTCTGATATATCAAGTCATCTTGTGTCGATCTCATCAGTTCATACTGCAGCTCTCGAGGAACACAATGTAGCTCATCCATTGAGAATCGAATACAACACGATGTGATTTTATTGGTGCTATTTTCACTTCTTTGTTCACTGCATATTCTCTTAAATTCTGCAGGTATGTGTAAGAAATCAAATGGGTGATTCCAACAGCTACATAAAGGTACAACAATATCAGTGTTATACCGTTCTTCAGTCTGTCTAAGAATGATTTCCGCATTATTTATTTCACCTTTACAATAGAGCACTGACGCTAACTTTAATCTACCAAACGCTACATCTAAGTTCCAACCTAAAAAGAGACATCGCAATGTTACAAGCGGAAGTGGCCTATTCTGTCCGATGCTTGCTGAGGCCATGATGGACCCAAGTTTGAGAAAAAGAAACGATAAAAAATGGTAACACGCAACTTGCTCAAATCTGTTTCCAATCACACAGAAATGTCTCAACATAAAGATGGCGTGAAGTATGTTTTCGAAGTTTTCACTTTCCAACGCCAACATATTGTTGTTTATACAATTTGCCAAGTTGATGCAAAGGATACCCGAACAATTTTCTTTGATGCAAATAGGAGTTTCAAAAATATAAACTAATTGATGAACTCTATTCAGTTTAACATACAGTCTTTGGCCTATATCATCAATGTCAAGTCGAAGTAAATATCTACCATCACTCTGTATTAAGTCAATTAACTTCCTTGAAAGGTCACGTTTCTTTTCAATTGTAAATTGTCCATCCATTAAGTTGTTTTCACAAATGATGAAATTCGGACAAAATTTATTTTGGACTGAACGATATAATTCTAATAGGCAGTAAGTTAAACATGTTGATAAATTACTCTTTTTCCATATGTGATTTTCTGAATTTTCTATACAACGTAATAAAACAGTTTTACACATAAAACTACTCAAACCATTTCCTTCATTAAGAAATGTTTTTAAAATAATTTTCATTAATACATAGCACCGCAATTGTGTTAAATTTAAATTGAACATGAAACATCTTTCTGCTAAAGACGTAGATATTCTCCATTCTAGTTCCGGGAAAGTACTTATCTTGCTGCAAACACCAACAACAAAACACCCGTTGCTAGCAGCATATCTTATCATGTCATTTGATGGCCATCTCATAAAACACCTCTCTTCTAATAAATGAGAAGCTAATTGCGGCCATGATGTACAAGGAAGGGCATAAACTAGATCCATGTCGCTGTAACCCTGCTCACCGGCTACAGCGTCTGATGGCCCGTGTCGTTCAGCATTGTAGCGAATACCACTCATAAAGGAATTTCTTAATAGTATCCTCCCGTAATTATCACGCATGTAAACTTCATCATTAGGAATATTTATCTCCGGAAGAGGCACATCACTTCTAAGCAGTTGTAAGAAACAATATCCTGGTGAAACATTATCATCCTGTATCATAAGCAAATTCTGCTCATTTTGTTTCCATTCTGACCATTCTTGTATCACATTTATACCATGATTTATACACAAAATGTCGACATCTGAATTAAGTCCAATAGTTGTTGTCCCTTCAGATTGGCTTCCAAGGTGATAAAAAGTTCTATTTCCACCGCGTGATCTATACGTTACAGACATGGTAGTCTCCCTTATCAGGTTAACTCTTCTTCTTTTCATAACCATTTCCTCATTAATTCCAACATCCTCTAAAACCTCTGATAACTTTAATGACAATGTGTTACTGTAGTCAGGAGATTGAAACATCCTACAAATTATAACAAATGAAAGTTAAATCTGTTAAATTTTATATATAAATATACCTATCTTTGTACCAGTTGCTGCGGTAAACAATGGAGAAAATGCGAGTATACATTAAACATAAAATCAGGTAAAAAGGTATAATAGTATGGCTTTCTAATGGCACTGTTAACCTTAAGGTTATCCAATGTCTAATCTAAAAGCCATTAAGGCTTATATCTGCTAAGAATGTTGTTCTTTTCTTATGTTATAACTACTTTTTATATTTACAGAACTAAATTCATCAATGAGAACTATTCGTATTTCTCAGTAGAGAAACAATAGAAATATACAGTTATTTAGAGTTACATACATTTCCTAAAACAATCTTACTAAACGTAAGAATGCTAAATTGTGATGACTGTATTTCATATTATACTTAAATATCATTGCCTAGCAGTGTCACAATTTATAAACTTGATTTAGAATATCTGCAAAGAATACATCAAAACTGATAAGGAATAATGAAATCATAAACGTCACTTTATAGATATAAATATATACATGTATATATTGAAATAAAACAATTCTTTTATACTTAATGATAAAATATGCACTTACTTTTTTACATGTATTACAATCTGCTTTTTAGAACAGTATTATTGCATCAGACTCGTTATTAGAATAAAACGTAAATCATTTTTGGTTTTCCAACTTCCTCTTTTGGTTTTGAAATTTCAGTACATTACAACAGCTTGATATTTATTGATGTTGTATTTTATTTATCAAATATTAGACTCAATCTTCTTTATCTTAATTTAAATTTATGGTTAAAATATATTTTTATACGATCTAGACATATACCCTTTTTTAAAAGTGAACATTCACTTTTCCCATTTAGTACTTCTTCTTTCGGTTTTACTAGGACACCTATTGAAGGTAGTTTACTCTAGTTTGATAAATATAAAAATAGCATTGAAAAAACCTTTAACGGTTACGTCCCTCTTCAACGAAATGAACGGATCAAAAGATATCTGTTCTTTGTTTTATGTTTTTGTCTTCTTTGATCTTTCAGATAACCGATATTTAAACATGCGTGTGCTTTTTTATCAACGACGAGACAAAGTTGACGAGTATTCCAAAATGCAACTGCTTTAAACATGTTTCACAAATAACTTAAACAATGTTTCTAGTTCTAGCACTGAAATAAAAAACACCGCCTGTTCATTCTATTTTAGGTCAATTGCTCACAAACCGTGTCACTAACAAAACTTTGTGTTCTTTTGTGAAAACCAAGTCAGTCAATGACCATGTTTAATCCAGTTAGGCAATTGAACAGCCATTCAACCCATTTGCATAATTCTGCAAACACTGGAAAGGTTCATTTTCAGATGTTGTGTATGCTACCAGTAAGAAAATTGTCCGTAAAATGATCCGTGTAGCAATGTGTGTTGTATGTTCTTTATGATATGTTTACTGTATCACTTATTTTAGTTATTTATAATTTTCTAATCACATAATTACCATGTATTAAGTATTATCTGCGTACCAGTGAATCGTATTATAATGACATTTTGTTATTTACATAGTGAAAATAATGTTGTCATTTACAACACGCCTACAAAAAATGTATGGTTTATGATACGCGTTTTGCTTCAATTTGATATAGCTGTTTATTTAAATTAAAAAATTTATTTTCGCCACCCATTTGTAAGATTAAAATAATGAATAGAATGATAAATGTCAATTAAGTGTTTTTGTTTAATTTGTTAACAAAATTGTTCATTATACAAAGTTTTAACGGTGTTGAACTTAATATATATTCCCGACTTCAGATACTTATTCATGTGGTTAAATACCTGGCTGTCCGGTTTGGAACATTAAACATTTAGTATATTTGATTTCACTGACAATTGGTCCAATGGATATCATAAACCTCATTATCATAGTACATTAAAATAAATCAGATTTGTTCATCTTTACTCCGTTTAAGCAAAGAGAATTTATCAATAAATACCGTTTGACTTGTTTTGCTTTAAGTTTCCGCCTAGAACGATAATAATGCCTATATTCTTTACACTTACATAGCCTATTGCTTCTAATCCACTTATCTTTCTGGCGTGGGTTTGATCCCCGGGAGATGCTTTGGTAGTTTAGCACGGAGGAAGGTAGTCTAGCTAGTACTAGTGTAACTCTCCAGGAACGATGGTTAGGAAACTACCCGCCTATATGACTGAAATACTGTTGGGAAAAGGCGTAAAATGAAACAAACAAACAAAACAAAAATCATAGCCTTTGTCAATAAGAATGCATTTGAAACCATATGACTTTATTTTTCAAATTTCCAAAAGAGATCATCACATGCAACATTCGCCCTTAATCACGTAGTAAAAATATGGTGTCAAATACGGCAAAATCAGATATTAATTGCACATAACATATAGACATTTAGATCATTATTTTATTTATTTTTTACTTTTTTATAAAAAACAGAATCGTAGTATATTTTCCTCAAGTTTGATTCTTTTGAAATATTTTGGCTTATCCAGAGGCATGCAGCTTAAATGTGTTTATCAAAATGAGTTCTTCAAACAAAACGCAAATGTAATTTAAAGAATGATTCATTTACATGTGTTTGGTTTCACAAAATAATACGTTTGAAATCATTTAATGAATTTTAAGCCAATTTAGGGCTCTTGAAAATTACTTTTACATACTCATTCCATGATGAGCAAAATATGTTTAATCATTACACAAGACTACTTATAATTTCAAAATATTCCCAAGCATCTCTAAGGATTTAATAATTGTCCTTGGAGTTATCCCAATACTAAAAATGTCAAATAGGAAACAAAACTAAGAAATATTCATTGAAGTTTTTTGTTGTTTTTGTTTAGTTTTTTTTTCAAGAAATTAAGATGTAATAACGGAAGTGCAAGAAAGACATTTCTGAGATATAAATATTATTTTTAAAGCAGCTTTTCTTATGAAAACGTGTATTCTTCTTAGGGCCTCCGTGGTCGAGTGGCTAATACCGTTAGCTTCAAACCACTTGCCCCTCACCGCTATGTGTTCGAATGTTCACTGTGGCTTTGGATTATCTATGATAGGAAGCTATCCAGCTAGCTTGCCAAGCGTAGGTGGTTCTACACAGGTGCCCGTTCGTGCTTGAAATAATGTATGTAAGGGAAACTGATGTTTTCTACCAACAGTTAAGCTGTAAAGTCGCCAAATGACTTATACTCAGTTAGTGCGACGTAATACCCAACAAAAATGTTTTCTTGTGCTAATTTATGCTGGTACCAAATGTACAAAACAATTGAAAATAATATATATGTCACATGTCAAAATTTGATTGAAAGTTGTCAAACCTGTTTCCAAACGCTTTAATGAGGAGAATGTTTTCATATTTGATAGATTAGTAAGAATGCTATAATGGAAGATGTATTATAAAAAATAATTTCAAGTATAAAATTTTGGTACGCATCTTTCGCTCTCAAAAAAACGATTTTGTCTAGCGGACGCCTAGTGAACATATTAGCAACATTTTTATCATACGAACATTCTTAAGGACACAGCAAAATGTAAATGAAAGGTAAATGTTTTACTTGAATATATGATTTCTTGACTTAATTTTCTTAAAATATAAATTCAATTTCTAATTGAGTACACTAGCAGTATATTTTATATATAGATATATTAATCTATTACATGTATAAATATACAATAATTAGGTAACATGTGCAAAATTTATTAGATAATATGTGATTAAATCCACTTGAGCAAACTTACAAGATTATAATAAGAAAGAAACAAGAACAAAGTAACTGTGTAGCAGTATTCACACCGCGGCATTATAAGTAGCAAAAATGAGAATTTTTCTGCTCTTTTGAATTCCGCAAAATGTCCTTGGTATTCAGGGTAGCAAAACAATTTATAGTTTCATTGTGGATTTTGGTATATAATGTTCTTATTATATACAGGGTTGTGAA